ACACTCTGTTGTACAAGTCATGTCCTTTTCAAATTATTCACTTTCAATGGGTGGGTAAAAAAAAAATCTTATTGTTTGCAAAATGCCCAATTAATTCATGCATGACTCACGGTTACCGGCAGGGCGCAGATCAGTTACCGGGGCTTTGTTTACCATGCATTCATTAATCGAAGGTGATAAATAGTCGGTATTGGTCTTATCAGTACGGTAATTGTCCGGCCGGTACGGTAACGCAACGGTCGGTACGGTAAAGCAACGACCGGTACGGTAAAGCAACGACCGGTACGGTAAACCGAGTCAAACTCACAGGAAACCGGCTGGGTGGTAATGATCAGTTCCCTAACACAAATAAATCGTTTGACAAGAATAACCACTGCTACTACTTGTCTGAATATTACAAACTTATAGTTCACCTATGAATACCAAATTATATTTATATTTCAGTTAAATTTCCTTCCAGCAAACTATGACGTAAAGAATAAAATATGTATTTTGCAAGATTTTGTATTGTATGTGTATTTTCAGATTGCAGTAGCAAAATAAATTTCCATTCAAGCGCTGGGCAATAGTAAAACTTGTGTATAAAATGAGTTCTAATTTCCTAAAATTAGATTACGTTTTATTATTACCATAGGAACACCTATGACATTTACATGCACGTAAATGCATTTTTTTACCCCACAGTAACTAAACATAGAACTGTAAAAGACTATTTGAGCATTTTGTATGAAATTTATTTTTACTGATTTTTGGCAAGTTGAATGTGAAATATAGGAAAAAAGCTATATTCACTGGATTTTATTTTCACTGAATCATTCCTTCAGCGAACATTAATTCCAAGCGAAAATAAAGAATTTCACAGAAGGTCAGGTCATGAGAAATACAATATACAGGAAAAGGGTTAACTGAACTGTGATGCCTCGTACCTTATGTTCAAATGTTTTTCTGTGTTCTATGACAGAGCCTTTGAAAGAGTCTTTGCATTCTTCACAGAAATGTTTCTTGTCACTGAAATCAACAAACGATGTTCAGATTAGAGCATTTACATTGCAAATAATGAACAAGCCATGCATGGCACAGTCCCCGTTAGTTATCAAATTTAAGATATATAGTTTTGTTTATAGTAATATAGCTGGAATATAACCATGTCACGAATATGATTTTTTAACATTAAAATTATTGACATTTGTATCTGATCGTCAAAAAAGTACGTGTTCATATTGAGAGATATTGCTCTGGAACAGCATTCAAAATCAGCCATTTTGAATACATGTTTATATATGATATGATGTATAATGAATATTTAAAATTTGAATATAATCAGTCAAAACAAGTCGGAGATATGGGTCTAGAAGCCCATTCATTAAAACAAAATGGCCACCAGACAGCCATTTTGAATCCAATCTGAAAAATAAATGATGTGCACCAGGAACCTGTAATGATTAAAATATGTACCAAGTATGAATGAAATCCATCCATAAATGCTTTATATTTGATGATTTTTTAGCACAAAAATGGCCACCATTTGGCCATTTTGAATAGGATCGTCAAACCAATATATCTGTCTATCTATGACATGATGTATTTAAAATTCGAACATAATCAGTGAAAGCAAGTCAGAGATATGGCACGAGAACCACATTCATTAAAACAAAATGGCCACCAGTCGGCCATTTTTAATCTTATCTGAAAAACAAAATGATTTGCATCAAGGTCCCATAATGTCTAATGTATATACCAAGTTTGAACAAAATCCATCTTAAACAGCCGAAAAATGCTTGATTTTGTTGATTTTTAGCACAAACATGGCCGCCATTCGGCCATCTTGAATCAGATCAAGAAACAAATTGACGTGCATATGTATAATATCATGTATGATGTATGTGTGAAGTTTGATTGTGATTGGTCCAGGCATTTCTAAGATACAGGTCTGGACGCATGCACAGACGCACGCACGGAGGTCAAAACATAAGTCCCCGTTTTCGGACTGCGTCCGAACGGGGACTAAAAAATTTTTATAAAAGTTTTGACAGGGGCATGTCACTGTAAGCCTATACATGCAATCCCAAAGCAAGTTTAACCTTTATCTGGTCAACTCAGGGCTTTCATTAAGTTTAAGAGTAGAAGGTAAATGTAATATAGTAGGAGGACACAAAAGGAAATTTTTTTTTGTCCGCATTGCACTACGGACAGGGAGGGAGGGTTCTTTTTAGCAAAAATGTCAATATTAGTGATGGTTAGATCAATTTTTAAGCTATGAATACATGGCTTTTGCTTCTCCAAACTGATCTGTTCATTCATAATGGACCCTTTTCAGAGAATATTAATGTGACAGTGAATATTAATACTGATAATATTATATTAAAATACACACATACCAGTTCGCTATCACACAATGTAAGCAGAAAACATTAATTACAATTAACATAATCATTTTAATATAAGTTATTTCAACCATACATGTATGTAAAATCAGATTAACCGGTATTTCCACGACCTTGTGCTCATTTGAAATAAGCATCACAGTCAGAGTCCGAGTCAAGTTCATAATCTGTCCCATAGGCATCATCTTCAGACAGACTGAGATCCAACTCCTTCAAAGCTCTCTGAGTTTCACATCTAATTTCATTAAGTACATCTACATCTACATGTACAGGATTCAGATTGTTAACTTCATGCTGACTTGGACTACTAGCTGCAACATGAATACAAAGATTGTAAATATGCTAACCAATTGATGATCCAATTTCAATCAAGCAATTATTTAATTAAACTTTAGATTAGAATAATACTTATAATACTTGGTGTGGATGACACTAACAATAACTTTCTATTTATTGTAGAGTAATTATAAATGTATAAATATTATACCACACATGGTAATGCAGCACTGGAAACATTACAATATAGAATATAATGATAAATTTATTTGACATAAATTATAAATATCAGACCCCCCCACCCCAAATAATAAGTACTAATACTTTACCAACACCAATACACCCAACACAATTTAGTTACAACTTACCCACTTCAAATATTCAATCTCTCAACTTTGATTACATCTAGAAATTAAATTATTAGCGGTAATGTAAATCAAAATTGTTATTATTTATATGGCGCCGCTAACAGTGTGACATTGGCGACAAAATATAAATTAAAAGTAGACTTATCACATTCAAAAAAAAATAAAAATAAAAGTTGACGTGAACACAATCCATCCCAAACCCTCTCATGTAGCAGCACTAGCTATCAGAGTGTAAGTTGTTACGGCCGATGGACGCCGGTCACAGCAATTACGTAGCTACGTAAAACACCGGCGTACTAATTAGTAATTGACTTCAAAACAATAAAAATACAAGTGGCTTCCTATTATTTTCTGACAAATGTGATTGAACTCTGACTGTAACAATGTAATTACTTACCCTTGATCCGCTTAAATCCCGAATCCAAAAGGGACTTCCTTCTGATTTCCGGGACGTGACAAAGCAAACTTTTTTCTTTTGTCCGCCATTTTGATTTACCGTGGCAGTGCTTTGTAAATAGTACGCGAGTTTTGATTGGCCGATATTACGAAGCTGACCGGGAAAGAACCAATAGGATTGCTCGTTTCGAACAATACTCGTTATGGCTTGCACAAAAGGTCGCCAAAGGTCAAACTGCGTAAATTTAATGATCACATTGCGTACGTAATTTGTTATATCTAGGGAAACCTCAGAACGCATGTTTTAGTTCTATGGGACATGATTTTATGGTTTCATCTTCAAAGGAAAAATAAACATTTTGTTTTGATTTTAATAAAATATTTAATAATAAAGTAGCCGGCAAACCGGCAGCAAGTAGGCGGACACTTTGGCCGGTTGAAAGCTCTGTAACAACAACAAGGTGATGTATTGCCGGCCTTGTCGAGGATCGTGCAGCAGAATTGATCCTTGTAGAAGCTGAGGCTGACGCCAATGATTGTGAACACGATGCAAAATGCATGTCAGATTCAGAGTCGGCCAGTGATCATGACAGTGTTTTTTCTAAAGATTTTGATGAGTTTAGTGACGATGAAAGAAATGATGATGACCTCTTTGAGGCTGCAGATAATATATCTGATTAATTAGTAAATAAAGGTTTTGCAATTGCAAG